GAGGGACATTGCCAGTTGAGCTACGATCATTAGCAAAAACAGGACTCAAATGAACTCTTTAAAACTTCAATCTTGATTCTGGTTGCGTGTTTCATAAAACTTGACCCACTTTCTTTTAGTTCTACCCTGAATCTTATAATCCCTTCAAAAATGTGAACTGAAGCATGTTTACTTTCAATTCATAAATCACCACCATCTAATATTTTCTCAATTATATCGAACCTCCTTACAGATCTAGCTTGTCATTTATCGTATTGTTTTTAAAAAGCAAGTTTTCTGAAACAACCAGGGCTTGAGGCATTGAAATGTCTGGCTGATTGCATAACAGGATAAATCAGGTGCAATTCGCACGTAAATTGAGAAAAAGTAATTCCTTACAATCATTAGATCCATACCAATAAAATGAATCAGTTGAGCTTACCTTTTGGCAGACTGCAAATGCAGCTTGTTCTGGAGTCATGTTGTCAAAAGGTGTCAATGCTGTGAGGAGCTCCCATAGGACTATGCCAAAACTGTAGACATCAACTTTCTTCGAGTGGTGTTTTTCTTTGATCATTTCAGGAGCCATCCATCGATATGTGCCTGTGAATCCCTTTGAACTACCACATTGCGATTCCAAGCAGGAAATACCAAAATCAGCAACTTTGACGCTCATATCTTCTCCAAGCAGCAAGTTTTCAGATTTGAGATCCCTGTGAAGTATCCCTTGTGAATGGAGATATTGCATCCCATGTGCAATATCAAGGGCTAATTTCAGGACTAGATTGAGAGGAACTGAGTGTGGCTCTTGCTGATGGAGAAATTTTCTCAATGAGCCCCCGGCCAAATACTCGGTGATTATACAAAATACAGGAGGTTTCTTACAAGCTGCAACAAACTGAACGAAGAAAGTCAAGAAGACAGAGTGACTTGTAAACAACAATAGTGAAAAATTTGCTAAATTTGTCATTTAATTCAACCATTTAGCCTGTGTGCAATACCAGTAAGTTTAGAGATTCTTCAATTCACCCAACATCCGAAGCCGGCCTACGTATAAAAATTAAAAAGGCTAATATGTACAGAAAAACATTCCCAAGTGTCTAGGAATTTGCATTTATTTTACTGATCTTCCAAATATAAGAGTCACAGAACATGAGGAAATGAGGATATATGGCATTTTTCGGTCCATTTACAACACTGACATAGAATTCCTGTATAGAAATTTATATAAGAAGGCAAATTGTTTTTACTCTCCTTCAATCTTCATTCTTCAGTGCTGAGATGTTCAGTATCCTATCCTTGTTCATCGAGAGAAGTTACTAAAGACGCCACTGGCCATCGCAACATCTGGTATGTATTTCCTAATGAAATAGCCTAGATACGTACTTACGATTTAGCACTAGAATTCTAACTGCTGAGGATGTGCTGCCAAAAATATTTAATGCAAAGGTGAAGTAAGTACAGCACTCATAAATACTAGCTAACAATGATGTCCATAAATATCAATTTTAACTTTTCATTGCTGGCCCACTTCATTTT